ATGAAGAGGAAGCTCCAAATGGCATCAACTGAATTTTTTAACATCTGAGTGATGGTGCTTTTATCAGGAGTGCAGAATGGTAGGAAGTAGCCAGAGCTGCTTCCTGCACTGCCTGTGCACTGCTCTGTGCTGCCTTGCAGCTCAGCCGCACTCTGCCTCCCCTTCACCCTGTGGTGCTCCGTAGTTTTGCCATCCTCACTGGTGCTGCCTTGACCCTCTGGGTTGCCTCGTGGCAGCACACTGAGCTGCTGCAGAAATTAAGGCCTAATTTAGCTCTCTGCCAAGACAGCTGCTGGCAAGGCAAGGTGCATGGGACGTGGAAGTTTGTGGTCAGGGCTCCAAGGGCTGTGCGTGTGTCCTGGCCAGCAGTGACAACCTGGGGTCATCGTGGAGCAGGGGCTGGTTTGCAGACATGCTCCTGCTTTATTGCAGTGCTACTGTGGTCGCCGTGCCCTGGTCACCAGCCTTTGGTGGTGACCAAAGACAAGCAGGAGGAAGGTGACAGCACTGTCAGTGAGGCCTGCTGATCCCAGGCGAGGTGATTTGAGCCTGCGATGGGAGGTGTACCCTCTGCATCTGAGGATGCTGCCTGGGCTTCCACATGTGAGCAGGAGCTTTGACTTTTTGTGTGACAGGTGTTAGTGCCTGCTGCACCTATGCCTTGGTGTGGGTGGGCTGCAGGTGCAGACCCTGCTTTCGGGTTGCAGGTGTGGCAATGGGGCAGGGGCAGCTGATGAGTGCCTTTTGCATATCCCCACCCTCTACTCCCACCACCCTTGGGAGGGACTGGGTGGTGTGGCTCAGCTGGGCACTGGCACGGGGCTAGAGTGGGTGCTGCTCAGGATGTCTGGACCCCACTTGCTGAGGTGTTTTCACTGCTGGGCACACCCAGTGCCACGTGTGCTATGTATCTCTGTGCTGCAGGACCTGCTCCCACACTGTCTCTTGGGCAGCATGTGGGCTGACCTCTGAGCCCCTCTGTGTGCACCCAGCTGTGTAGTGGGTGCCAGAACATTGCTTGCCCCTTGAATTGCTGGGGCAAGAGCCTGGGAGCAGCTCAGCAGCTTAGCTGGCTCCGCAGGTCTCCCCCCATCCCAGTGCTGGATGGGAGGACTCGGTGCTGGTGGTGCAGGGCCTGGCAGTAAGGCTGACGGGCTGCTCCATTCTGGGATGTCTTTCATCTGTCATGTTTCTCCTTCCAGCCTTGCATTTGCCTCTAAGGCTGCAAGGAAATGTCACTCCTAGTTTGCCCTTTGCTTCCACTTACCAGGCAATGCCCTCTCCCAGGCAGAGACCGACCTGTCTTGCAGCTTGTCCTCCTGCTAGCAGAGACCCCACCAACAGTGTTCTGCCCAGCTCCCTGACCTTAATCTGAGCTCTCTGCAGTGGCTTCCGATCTGACGGTATCCCTATGGGAGCACCATGCCAGGAGAGGGGATTCAAGCCCCTTGCAAAGCCTGGGCTTGGCTAGCGTGGCCTGCTGCAGCGGGGACTGCTCTGAGGAAAACTAAGCAGAGTGTGTTCTCTGCAGGTAGTGAAGATGTCTGGTAGTGACCCCGAGCGTCCCCACTTCCTCTTCGTGAAGGTGCTGGCAAACCGGGGGCGGCTGGATGCAGTGACCCAGCAGATGGGCTACCATCCACAGTACCTTGACAGCTTCCTCAAGACACAGCACTACCTGATGCACATGGATGGTCCACTGCCCTTTGACTGCCGGCACTATATCGCCATCATGGTAAGCCCTCCTGGGAGCTGCCAGAGGGGACAGGGAGCTCTGCTTAGCCTTGCAAGACTTTCTGCTCTCCCTCCACCTGTGCTGTGGGCTTCTCTGTGGAGGCCAAAATCTTGATGTCCTGGAGGCTGGGTGAGAGGTGGGTGTGGGGTTGCAGAACACCTTGTCCCACCAGCACAGTGCACAGATGCTGACATTCTGCTCTTGCAGGCAGCTGCCCGGCATCAGTGCCAATACCTGGTGAACCTGCATGTGCTGCAGTTCCTGCGGGCAGGGGGTGATCCCCAGTGGCTGCGTGGCCTCGACTTCATCCCCCCCAAACTCCGCAACCTTAATGAGATCAACAAGATCCTAGCACACCGGCCATGGCTCATCACGAAGGAGCACATTGAGGTATTGGAGTTGGGGGGGTGGCTGTCAGCCAGACAATAGGGCAGCAGTGGGGGCAGCAAAAAGCACTCTGCCTGCCTGCCTGCCTGTGTTGCATCACTGGTCTGTCCATGTCCTGCAGAAACTGCTGAAGATCAGCGAGTGGAGCTGGTCACTGGCAGAACTGGTGCACGCCGTCGTCCTCCTGGCACACTGCCATGCGCTCACCAGTTTTGTCTTTGGCTGTGGCTGCGAGCAGGATGAGGGGTCAGGGGGCCGAGGCTTGCTGAGGCCCTTGTCGCCTGGGAACCAGTGCTTCTGCGAAGCCACTGCCGGCAATGGCTGGAGGCAGGAGCCGCT